TTATCCCCACTGCACCCTGTTCCCATCAGCCTCATCCCCAATGCATCCTTGTCCCATCAGCCTCATCCCAGCTACATCTCTGTCACATCAGCGTCATCCCTGCTTCATCCCAGCTGCATCTCTGTTCCGTCAGCCTTATCCCCACTGCACCCTGTTCCCATCAGCCTCATCCCCAATGCATCCTTGTCCCATCAGCCTCATCCCAGCTACATCTCTGTCACATCTCCGTCCCATCAGGATGGAGCCTCAGCATCCATCGTCCCATCTCCTTCCCATCAGGATGGAGCATCTCCGGCCCCTCATCCTAATCCCCACTGCATCTTTGTCCCATCAGCCTCATCCCCATTGCACCCTCATCCCATGAACCTCATCCTTGTTGTATCCCTGCTGCATCCCCATGCCATCAGCCTCATCCCTAATGCATCCTTGTCCCATGAGCCTCATCCCAGCTACATCTCTGTCACATCAGCGTCATCCCAGCTGCGTCTCCATCCATCAGCTTCATCCCCAATGCCTCTCTGTCCCCTCCGCCTCATCCCTGCTTCATCCCACTGCCATCAGCCTCATCCCTGCTTCATCCCCCTCCCATAGCCTCATCCCCGCTCCATCCCCGCCGTTCTGGTTGCTCCAGTACCGCGCTGCGCTGCTGCCACCGTGTGAGCGATCCCCGCGTTCCTGCGCCCCGGCTGTGTTTGTTTTAGGAGCGCCTCGCCCGTTTTGGTGCCCTTTGCACAGCGCGCGTTGCTGCGCAGATGCTCACAAGAGCCTTTTCCCCGACTGGGAAAGGCAAATATCCCAATGCCGCATTGGGGTGGTGTGTGGGATGGCCGGGGTACCCCACAGAGGGGCACCCCATGTCCCCGGCGCCCTTTGCTGAGGTGTAACCCGGCTGTGTCAGTCCTGGCATCGTCTCTGGGTCACCTTACGACAGAAGCTGTGTGTACCTGCCCTGCCACAGCCTTGCACCGGTAACCTGTGGGTCAGGAATGGGGCTGAGAGGTCACAGCAGAGAACAGGGGTGAGTCTGGGGCGTTTCCTGCCTCAGCACTGACTCAGCCCGTGGCTCTAGCAGGTGATTTCCCCAGGCTGGATTTTTGGTGATGAAGAGCTAACCCCAAAGAGCTGCATCAATCATYGGCAGGTTGGTGGGGTTTGGTGTGGGGACAGTCACAGCGTGGGAGTGATGGTGGTGTCTCCCCAAACGCTGCTGTCAAAGGCTGCCACTGAGGCTGCTGGATTATTGCTCAGGACCGCTGGAAATTTGGGAATGTGCCTGTCATTGATTCTACCTATTTCCAGTGCGTTTTCCCTGGAGGTGTTTTCTACCAGTGCTGYTTTGTGTGTCCAAAGCCATCACTGGGAATGCTTTTGAGTCCTCAGCAGTGCAGCCCTGGGGATGCAGCAGTGCCTGAGGCTCTYCCTCACTGCGGGCATCCTTTGGGGCATTGTGCTGTGCCATTGTCCCTGCAGCTGTCCCCAGCTTTCCATTGCCCCACCCTGACCCCACCACAAGCACCAGCAGCTCTGCTCCATCCCCCATTCTGACACCAGAACTGCGGTGAGGCCTCACATCCAGGTGAGAGGGTTTCCATGGGGTTTTATCATTGCTGGTGATTGATTTCCCAGCATTTTCATGGTCTTGGGCACAAGCCCTCATTCACCATCTGCTCCTAATTTTGAAAAGCTACRTTAGGCTCTGCTCAGCTCTTTTAAATAACCACCAGCGTAGCTCTTCTCCTCCAGCCGTGTTCTCCACAAGCCCTGGGTCTCCTATTCCCAAATCCTGCCCAAACCAGAACCTCCCCAGAGCGATGCAGCAGCTCCAGGAGGAAGCAGCAGSTTATTTACCGTGATTACTGTTAACACAGCGGCTTTATTTACGCCGTGTCCCAGCTGCAGACGGTGACCTGGCACCRCGGTGGTTGAACTGGTTGTACCGGAACGGCCACATCGGGGACACCGGATCCTCACCCCGCCAGGAGATGCCGGCAGGGAGCACCCTCCCACCGGCAGCGTGTGGAAATGCCTCCCAACTGGCTGGTTTTCCTCTTTTTTCCCCACTTGCATGGCGGGTTCCCAGCCTGCAGCCCGGGCAGGGACTGTAAATTGGCGTGTGGAAACTGAGGCATGAGGAAGAGAGCCCAAAGTRCAGAGCAGTGTGTGTGGGCTGGGAATGGGATCTGAGGGAGCGTGTCACGGGGCAGGCTGGGATGGGATTTCATCCTGGGGAAAAGGTGGGGCCCTGCCATGTTCCAGTATATATTTATATATATATATATATATATTATATTGCTGGTGTTAATTCTGGTGTTAATTAGCTGTTAACTCTATTAATCATCAAATCACAGAATAGTTTGGGTAGGAATGGACATTAAAGCCCATCTCATCCCCCTCCTCCATGGGCAGGGACACCTTCCACTATCCCAGGCTGCTCCAAGCCCTGTCCAACCTGGCCTTGGACATTTCCAGGGATGGAGCAGCCAAAGCTTCTCTGGGCACCCTGTGCCAGGGCCTCCCCACCCTCACAGGGAAGAATTTCTTCCTCATATCTAATCTGGATCTACAYTCTGCTGGTTTGAACCTGTTTCACCTTGTCCTATCACTCTATGGCCTTGTAATATAATAAAACAGTGTAATATAGTATAAAATAGTATAATATACTATAACATAAATGTGCAGTCGTGTGGTTTTACTGACCCAAATCCCAGGGATGGGCTTTACCTCTCTCAGGACAAGCCATGGAGCTGTGGATATCCAGCWGTCACTTGGAGCAGTGCTTTTGGCTCACTGTTGGAAAGGAGCAATCCAGGRAGGTGTCTAGGCTTCCAGTGGTGACTTTAACACACATGCTGAGCACCTTTGAACAGGAAAAAAGCAGGGAAAAGTGCCAGGGATCAATTTCTAAGGCAGGATAATGTGAGCTCCTGGCACCTCTGCACGTAGCAGGGCATCAGATGCCCCTCTGAAAGGCTCTTTTGTTGCCTGCTGGTGGCTCTGGTGGGGCTCCAGTTCCCTCCTTGGCATTCCTGTGCTCTGTATCCTGCATACCTGGCTGGATRAACACCCTGGAGAAATCCCAGCCCGCCCTGGACCAGGCAGGGAGTGTTTGCAAGGGGAGGATTTGAGCTGCCTCAGATAAATCCCTGCACTGGGATGGCTGGAAAGGGAAATGAGCCCAAGGGATGGATGTGAATACATTATCCCACAAAGCATCAGGGACAGGCAGGTGCCTCAGCAGCCATCCAAAGGGTGAAGGAGAGCCCCCCCCTGCTCGATCCTTCTCCACTGGCACTGAAAAGCCCATTCCTGGCTCAAATTCAGCTTTGTGGAGCAGGAACCCGAGGAGCTGCGTTATGAATGTCCCCTCTGTGCTCATGGTCACCAGAGCCCCTGCAGGGGGGTGACCTGGCTGGGGCACGGAGCTGTCCCTGAGCCAGATTGGTGACAGTGGCTGTGTGAAATCCATGTGCCCCCCTCTTTCTGACAGAGAAAACAATTCCCTGGTATGTCTCCCGATGCTGGAGCTGTTTGGGATGTTGGGGTTGTGTTTGGCACAGGAAGGTGGAGAAGGAGAGGGGGAAATCCATCTGAATCCATCTGAATTTGCCTGAGCCAGGAACCAAGCCGGAAAATGCAAAATAATCCATCCGAGGGAAAAACAAATAAATACAGGTTATGTTTAATAATTATTTCTTTTTATAGCAYGACTCTAGGAATTTCTCTTTGATTAGAGGGGGTGATATCGGTGCCATGAGCCAGGGCAGGTGAGTCAGTGGAAAATACCGTCAGCTCCATGCGGGACTGTGCTCATAGGGAGAGATCCAGGGAAGCAGGGTGGGTTTCCCAAGCATCCTGAACACCCCAAGGCAGGGCTGTGGAGCTGAGTCACGCCCGGTGATGTGACAAGTTTCGTTGGGTTCGTGATGGTTTTTGACTCGCAGGGTTTAAGGGACAGGAAAAACTGCAGTGGCTGGTCCAGCAGCATAGTGATGCAGGTTTTTTTTTTCGCTTAGATCGGGGGAAAACTCATCCTGAGTATCATCTCCAACAGGATTTGAGTCCTTGGTGGTGTTTATTATTACAGCTGGGTGTGAGAAGAGCCTGGAAAAACACGTCCCGGTTGCCACTGGGAGGGCAGCCAAGGAGAGGTGACACTGGACACGRCCCTGGCTGCATTGAAGTTTGCCARAGCCCAGCTCTGCTCCCCRTGGTTCAGTCTGGAAACCACGGGGATGTCTGGCTATGAGGCCAAGGCATGTGGCTAGGAGCTGTGGGGAGAGACGTGCCTGGCATGGCTCTTTCTGGCGAGTGAGTGGTTAACAGGGAATGTTTACGGAGAGCAGCAGACTGATAAAAAAAGCGCTTTCCAGGCTGCCTGTGAGTGCAAGCTTGGCTTTGCAGGGATGTTGGCTTTGCTCTGTTGAATGGAGTGTTTGGGATCCCTCAAAATGGGGCTTCTGCAAACAGAGGTCGGAACTGATCGAGGAAAAGCTCTGCTCATCGGTACAAGYTGGTTTCACAAAGCAGGCACACTGCAAGATGCATTTTAAACCACAGAATAAAAMCTAAAACTTTCATTAGATGTCGGGAATATTTTTTTTTTCCCTGTGAGGGTGGTGAGGCCCTGGCACRGGGTGCCCAGAGCAGCTGTGGCTGCCCCATCCCTGAAAATGTYCTTGGCCACGYTGRACAGGGCTTGGRGCACCCTGGTCTGGTAGGAGGTGTCCCATGGGTGGAATAATAAGAATTTTAAGGTGCCTTCCAACCCAAATCATTCCGGGATTCCATGAAAGCAGMGAGAGGGGCTGTGATGCATCAAGCAGGGACTGCGAGCGCTCCATACCCATCCCCAGTGTGACCCACACCTGATTTTGGGGGTGTCCCCAGTGCTTTCTGGGGGGTTTCCCTACTGCTCTTGGAAGTCTGCTGGGTTCCGCCCCCTCCTTTTCCCCGGCTTCCCGGAACGGAGCGCGGTGCCCGGGGCCGGAGAGCGGCGGGGCCGGTCCGGGGAAGCGCCGCCCCGGGAGGGCCGGCCCGGGAAGGGCGGAGCGGCCCCGCCGGACCCTTCGGAGCCGCCGCCGGAGGTACGCGGGGTCTGGGGGTCGGGAAAAGATGGGACCCCCTCTTTTGGGACCCTCTGGAGAGCTGGGAACCGGGAGCGGGGCGAGCTGGGCTCCATCCCGCCGGGAACGGGAGCGGGAAGGAGTCGGAGCAGGGAGCAGCTCGGGCTGGGCTGGAATCACTTCCAAAGCTCGGGGAAACACCTGGAAAGCGGGGGGAAACACCCCTCAAAGGGGGAGCAAACACCCCCAAAGCGGGGGGATCACCCCCAAAGCGGGGGGATCGCAGCAGAGGGTCGGAGCGGCGGCGTTTGGGGCGCGGCGCTGCCTTGGGGTCACCGCTTGGGGACACGTGGGCTCGGGGCACCGCGACAGCCCCGTGGTGGCCGCGTTGAGAGCGGCGAGAAGGGTGGCGAGAAGGGTGGCGAGAAGGGTGGCTGTGGTTTCGGGAGCGATCGGCTGGCGCTTTGGGGAAGGATCAGCAGCAGGGAGCGGGGCCAGGGGATCCCGCAGCCCAAAGCCGGTCCCAGGAGTGGCACCAGTGTCGCGGGTCACCAGCCCGTGCCCGGGAAGGAGCAGCGGCGGAGGGTGAGCCGGGCTGCTGGGAAAGAAAGCAAACAAAGCCGAGGAGAAGGAGACCTGGGCAGGGCCGGGCAATGCGGGTTCGGCCCTTCCCATCGTGATATTCCTGCCGGAGAAAGAGCGGCTTGGAGCTTTGAGGGGTTCAGCAAAGTCGCAGGTGTCTCCCAAGCGTGTCTGCTGATGTTTGATTTTGAGGGTGACGTGGTGGGGACAAGCATCCCTGTAGCTTTGTGGGTTTGTGGGGAAGTGTGGATTTGTGAGCAGAGACCCGCGGTTCCGTCAGCGTGTGAGATGGGGGAACCCTCGGCTCTGCATGGTGGATGGAGCCTGCTGAGGTCAAGCTGCACCAGGAGGTGTGGTTCTGGCTGTCCAGCTCTGTAAAGCCTCTCTGGAGCACACCTAGGCCACTGCTGGATGGCAGCACACCCSTTCACAACAAATCCAAGCGTCCTGCAGCCGTCCACAGCCCTGGATGTCCCGGCATGAGAGCCAGAAAGGGAAACCTCGCAGGTGTCAGCGAGGAACATGTGGGTGTGGGGCTGGTGAGCCCAGCCCTGGACTGAGGTGACTCGGAACTATGTGAAATGCCTTTGATTTTAGCTGTGTAATTAGAGGGATTAGAAAACCCTTGGGAAGGGAAGTGCCTGGGGAAGGAGGAATGTTTGGCCATCGGTGCCCTGGAGAGGGCTGAGTGTCKCTGCCTGGCGCCGTGCTGGGGCCAGAAGGAGATGCCAGAGGGCCAGGGCTGGGCAGGACTGTCTGTCTGCTCTCCTGCCTGGARTTTGGGATCTGGGATGAGGGATCCCTCCAGCAGCCCAGGTATGTGTCTGCCTCCCCGTGCTTCTCCGTGCTTTTCTCATTCCCAGTGTATTCCCCGGGCAGAAGCTGTGTCGGGGCTCTGTGGGAGTAGCTGGGTATCCTGTGGGAGCAGCTGGATATCCTGTGGGAGCAGAGCAGGTGGCCTGGAGCAGCACARTCCCCAGCAAACCTCCTTCCCTATCGAATACCTGTGCCCACCCGGCGGAACGCTGCTGCTCTGTGCTGGGCTGTTCCACGTCACTTGGCTGCCTGGCCAGCTCTGTGTCCCCGGGCTGGCTCCATG